TGGTTCTAACCGGCGTCTCTTTTATTTTCCCTGAGCTTGGTCCTACCTATCGCAACATGGAAGGCCTGCAGATGCGCTTTTGGATCCGTGGTGCCGTTGTACAGAGGGATCTTGATCTTCTAAGGATCTGAGATTTTCGTCTCAGTGATACTTGCAGTGAAGGGATTTTCCGTGCTTCTTCGAGAAGTATGTCGATCTTGGGTGCAGCACTGGTAGCATGGTAAATTTGAGATATTACTGCTTTCACTTCTGCAGCTGTTTTTGTGATAGTCATAGTGATCATAAATCTCGTCAAGATCGTCACCATCAGTTTTTCGAGTGTGTCAGTGTTTGCTGCGAGTGATCCGGAGAGGACGAGTTTCTCTTGTTCTACCAGTAGATATTTTATTCTTCTTCTGTCATGGGCTTATCAAATAGAGAGTTTTGCCGAGTCGTCCGGCTTCTTGCCTTCATTGGTGCACATCAGTGTCCTAATCCGAGTGATCGCATTGATAATTGGGATCCAAGTTGACTTGTTCGACTCCATCAGCTCGACCGAGGAGTATGGGATTATCCACGTTAATTGCGGTACGACATGGTTTTCAGCATCTGGGTTTTAGTCCAACAGAATCCTCTGCATGTCAGTGGGCCTGTCATGCGGAGTTGTAAAGTCGAGTCTTCTTCTGCTGCGGACTCTTGTAGTCCCGCGTGGGAAAAGAGCCTTGGTTCTTGCTATTAGGGTTTTGAAATGTTAAGCAAGATAACTCGTATGCTTGTCTTATTTAACCGACTTCTTTTCGAGAGTCAAGAACATCTTTTTAATCTCCTCGAACACTGCGGTGTTAGCGTTTTCGTTAACCATGGAGACGTTTCCTGCTGAAGTGTTTTCAATGTTGTCGTTGGAGACATCGCCGACGAACTGGTTGATTCTCTGAGCGTCTATAGCCATATTTGACCAAGTGTTTTTGTGGCTGCGAGTTAGATTGACCTGGATCCTCTATTTCTAGCGCCAGACTGTGATAATCAAAATTTGCATTATCGATTTTAGTTAATAGAGGAAAGCAAAGAAAACCCTATTTTCCCTGAGATCCTAGAAATCTACTAAGCCAACAACATGTAATTATAATAGCAAAATAAAGTAAATCGAGATAAAGAGTAGAGCAAGGAAGATGTTATTCTGAATCTGACTATGAGTGTTACAACCAGTGAAAAGACCTCGGCTGTGAGAGTTGTCAGGGTGTTTTAGCCCTAACCATCTAAGACCTTAAAACCTAGTCGAGTTGCAGCTCAATAACAAAAACGGAAATTGTATAAATTTCTCTAAGTACTAGGTTTGCTGTAAAAAAATTTCTCTGTATCTCAGCTCACTTTGTCTTGGCTCTCCTTATATATTCCCCTAATGTCGTCGCCTTTTTCCTCTTCTGCGCTTGATCGACGTTTATTTTTTTGCGGAAATTTTCCTTATCTTTTTGATCTTCATGTTTATCTTTGGAAATTTTAACATTTATCTTTTTTCCTTTTATTTCTAGTCGAAAATGAGTAGACCGTCATTATTGTTGGGTCAGTTCTTGAGCTTTAATTCATAAGTGGGCTTTTATCGTGTTTTAAGCTACTTGAACCGTTTTACCATTTCACGCATTTTTGCTATAATTGCTCGGAGAAATCATCTTCTTATTCGATGTTTGTTCCCATACCGTTGGTGTTATGGGATGAAGAAAAAAATTATAATCGAGATAACAATGGTGTTAAGCTCACCATTATTGGTTACAAGATCGATTCAAAATTTTACGAGAAAACAAATCTTTGCTATTTTTATCGTAAAATTTCAACAGAAACTCTACTTGAGATGAAACAAGAGACTATTTGATTGAGACTCGAAGGAGAAAGATACGAATGAGCTTTGAGTGCGAGACGAGCAAAGGAGCATGATGTCTCCTAGTTGATCCATGGAGCAGAGGAGCGTGGTGTCGTATAGTGGCGACATGGAGTGGAGGAGCGTGGTGTCGCCTATTAGCGACATGGAGCGGAGGAGTGGTCTCGACTCATTGTGGGATGGAGAGTAGAGGGAGTGGTATAACCTATTGGCGGTGTGGACCGGGCGGGGGGGAGCAGCCTAACCCACAGCGACACAAAGAGGAGGCGTGGTGTCGCCACATGGCGAAACGCACGGGGGTGGAGCAGCCTCGCCTCATGGTGATACGGAGAGGAGGAGGTGTGGTGTCGCCATAGGTGACACGGAGTGGAGGTTCGATGCGTGGTTCTCCATAATGGCGACCGGAGACAATGAGACGATGAGAAGTTGGGACGCGAAAATTTCTTGTTTTATCGTATTTCTTAGAAGTCGTTTGTTAAGAGGTTGGGTATATCCTTTGTTAAAACTTTTTACTGTGAATTTTTTCGAATCGTACGAGGTTTTAGTTCCCACGTTCTTTTTTATTTTAAAGATATAAAATATTTTCTCAGTAGTTTCTAGACATTGATCTCGTCGTAACAAAATTTACCCCAACAGATATTCTGATTGATATTTCATTAATACAATAATAAAATAAAATAGGAAAAGATAATTACGAATTGTTAGAGACATTGTAGGTGATTGGTTGGGATTTATCTCCTTACTTTAGTTTTATTTATTTTAAAATCACTACATTTTACAAATCATATTGTAGCTTTATTTTTTAAAAGTTAAAACCTACATCAAGTTTCAATAAATTTACCAATCATAATTTACCTTTATTTTTAAAGCTACAGCAAAAAAAAAAAAAAAAAAAAA